GAGAGAGAGGGTGGGAGGGCCAGAGAGAGATAGAGAAAGACAAATAGAAAGAGAGAGGGAGAGGGACAGACACATGGACACACACATCTCCATACATGCATTCTAGACATTTGATCCATACATGTGGTACATACATGTGTCCTGTGGAGAGAGGTGTGTGTAGCCAGTGGCGCCCGCAGATAGAAGCACTGGAAGCACAGTGCTTCCAGTAAATTTTGGGTTAAAAAATGGTGTTCCTACATTTTGTTCCTAAATCTCTCTCGCAAGACTCACCAGATTGCATCTTCAAACGTCTACCATTCAAATATTTTCAGGGGGGCATGCCCCCAGACCCCCCTAGCATGCAGCGCGCCCACGGCGCTTGCTTTTTATTATCACTGAGGATTTTATCCTTCTGTGCTTCTACTTTCTTAAAACCTGTTGGCACCAGTGTGTGTAGCTTACCTCTATCCACCTCTGACTTTCCTGTAGAGCCAGGTCTGTGTAGAACTCCAGCTCATCGTCCAGGTAGGAGCTAGTCTGGCTTGTGCATCTCACCTCCATCTCTGCACTGCTGTCTCCCACCAGTAGTCACGACAGCTGAATTGGAAAGCAGCAGTCTACAAGCCGGGTTGACGACGCAATTCTACTCGCATGCAAATTCGCATATTTGCATAACGAGATTCAGTACACGTGCAGTAATCGCCACACTGAATACATTTTGACTTCTTCAGAATTCTGTACCAGTCCTGCAAGTTAGAGCAAACAATGGCCTACTCGACCTTGAGTAACCTCCACAAAGACAACCGGAAAGCTGAACTGATATTAGATTCGCAATAGACCATTATCTATTATTAATATACAACAGATTTTGGACACATTTTGCGTGAAATTAATTTTAATTATTAACGATTGTAGTCCATGATAGTGATAAGTGAAAAATGGTAAGCGAGTGGTGAGCAGTGTAGTTATCATACTCTAATTAGAAAATCTCAACCATATGTCAAATTTCTGCCACAGACTAGGAAAATACACTAATTAATCTAAAATGACACAATGCCTGCAGTCAGGTAAAAACATGAGCATATGTGGCCATTGTTATCCTAGGGCCTGCTAGGCATAAAGTGGTGGGCCAATGGCCTTACATGTTGTGCTTTTACATATGAACTTTTACTGAATGAGCTATTGCTTCATACAATGACTCATACAATTGTATGATGAGTTCATGGTGCTACTGTGTATTAGTGACAGCGAAATCCGTGATATGCCTTCATTCTTGAGTGTTTGCAAGCACTTGAAACTGGTAAGGGAAGTAAAGAGATCATGTAAGAACCTCCGAATAATACATTATAGTTTTATTGTTTGGGTAGGCCGGTGGTGGCAACAATGGAGTGGGGTGAGATCACGTGATTTATGAGATACAATAATGTAACCCAAACACAGGATAGGCTGTGTTAGGATATGTTTTTGGTTTTCATCAATCTATTGATTCAACCTATCCTGTGTTTGGGTTACATTATTGTATCTAGTGATTTATGTGTACATTCCTTGGAGCGCCTTTCCGCTACTGTAGTTATAAATGACAAACACTTATAGCAAGCCCCACGAGAACACCATGAAGTTGTTGCACAGTCTACGATGACGGTGATAAGAAGGGTCATGAGTGGAAGACAGAGGATAAAAAGAAGGAGGAAGATCCAAGCGAAGAGGAGAGGAATAAGGGGGAGTAGGAGGAAGATGCGGGGAGGGGAGGAGGAGCATGATAAGGAGCAGGAGGAAGAGGGAGAGGAGTAGTAGGAGGAGGTGGAGGAAGTGGGAAATGTGGACAACGTGGAGGAGGAGGAGGAGGAGGAGGAGGAGGAGGAGGAGGAGGAAGAGGATGAAGATGAAGAAGAGTAGGAGAACGAAAAGGAGCATGACCAATGCTAAGCAGCGACTAGAGTTACACTTGAGAGTTGGCATGATATATACAACCTCGTTTGTTAACTCCCTTCAGACCACCTGGGTATTTTAGACTGACCGGCATCTTCAATCATGTCAAACGATACCCTATTGATCGCTTCTTTTACTTTGGCAAGCATCCAAAAGTCACTGACAGGGCTATTTATAGTAGCTGAGATAGTCCTCAGATAGACAGCATTACATGGTAGGGCACATTGACTGGATGGAAAAGCTCCACGTTTCTCCACCCGTATATTTTTTTTCCCCAACAATTTGACAGGTTCCTCATTGAAAGCTAAAAGACCAATAGGAACATTTCTTGTGCTTCTCTAGCGATCTTTCTAAATTTTAAAGAAAATGTAACTAGAAATAAACCCAACCTTATAATATACTAATTACTATGATGCTTGTACCTTAGTTATACTTGAGCCTAGCCCGACCAGGCTGTGCGACGGATTCTAACCCTAGCAATACCGTTTCTTGGAGCTAACTTGAGCCTTGAGGCTATAGGTACGTTATAAATAATATTGCATTAATTCTGATCTAATCATAAATGGCAGTGACCGAATATTCAATGATGTAGCTGTTCAAGACTTAGAAAACGACGACGAAGAAGAAGAAGAGGACGACGAAAACGAAAACGAAAACGATGGCTATCCATGAAAACATACACATGAACACACGTGACTGTGAGGAATGTAAACAACGAGTCGGAATGATTGAACTTGACGATGGTGAAAATAATCTACTTGGGGAAAATTGGTCTCACAAGCTAACTCACCTTGGAAAGACGCCGCTTCTATAACTTACAGGTGTGTTCGGGAGATCACGGAGCCGCTGATTCTGTAAACCAGTACACAAATGGCAAACGTAACAGCTACAGATTCATGTGTGCATGAAATTTACAGGTGCATTCTAGTCTGTCAAGAGTTCATGGCGGGTCATGTGTACACACAGACGTCACGATCGCTATCGCGCGTTTATTGGACGATACACGATACGCGATATGATTGGATAGAGCACCGTCACGTTAAAGTGGTCAGGACGACAACGGCGCCACCATCCAATATACTCTGATAAAGTGTTGCAATTACTTAGTTCACAGAAATATATAGAGATACTAGTCTAACTAATATATTATTTCTATGCTTAGCTTGCACTTGACTCGTGCCGGATCTTCGAGTACTTATAAGCAAGGAGCACTTACATATACAGGCTTTGTTACAAGTGATCGAAGTTCAACTTACACTCACTACACACACAGCATATTGATATAATACGTAGGCCTATCAGAAGTAGATAATAGGGATCTATAATAGTAGATAATAGTAAATAGTAAATAAAAATAGTAAATAATAGTAATAAAAGTAAATAATATGTAGATAACCCTATTATCTACTTCTGATACGTATTATACACAATCACACGCTGAACATTATACACTAAAGATTTCCAGACTGTCGCCCCGAATACCTTGATTTATTGCACAGCGGAATACATCTGATTTATTAGAGAAGATTTTGCCCCTGACATCCGTAGTTTTGGATTCTAATGCATCGTCATCAATATTTCAAAGTTTAAGCAGATATTGCGAAAGCATGTTGTATCAGTCTAAATAAACAATTTGCTCACCCACAATATTTATGGTATGCAGTGCACTCTTATTTCCGACTCGTATAAATAGCACTTGGATCGAAGTCGCGGTACCCGGAAATGTTATTATAACTTTGCTTAGTCAGTGCATATGTCAGTGTGAAGTATGAAACCATCCATGTCAGACTTAATTGTGACAACAATACATTACAGTACATTACATAACAATACATAACATACATATAATATAACAATACATAACAATACATAATACATTACAGCTGCATTATTGCCATAATCTACCAACACAACAATTGATAACGTGGGGGAGCAATATAAAGCAAAATTATCGCTGTTAGTTATGATCGTACTGGCGTATTCTCTCTCTCTCTCTCTCTCTCTCTCTCTCTCTCTCTCTCTCTCTCTCTCTGTAAGCTAGAGAGAGACTAAAGCGATGTAGCGGCTGCAGCAATGGCACCGGGTTACCTTCCGACACTGTAACATAATGATCCACCCTGAGCTGTTTAGATAATCCCAATTGCATTCATTCGGCGCACTTCTCCCTTTCAAAAATCCATTCGCAGTTAAAAACAGCTACAATCAGCTGCAAGTCGCAAATCAAACAACGTTTGTAGCAAGTTTTTCCGGCAGTAATAGCGAGAACTATAATATATTCGACAAACCTCTCTTTCGCAATTACACGGGAAGTTGTTTTAAACGAGTTAAAAACACGTCGCCTCGTCGCGGTTCTGTTAAGCGCCTAAAAACTTTTAGATGTTTTTTTTTATATATAACGCTGCAATGTTTTAGGTCTTTGTCCGAACAACAAAGGCGGATGTATTTCCTGAATTTGGAAATTTCGTGAAACGAGCGAGAAAAGCAAAGGGGAGCATGGCACACAGTGACTCGACTATGAATGCTGTCAGTGTTAGGAATAGGAACAATAGATTCACGGTACGAAGAGTAAATGAACTATTAGTTTTTTGTGCTGAACTAAAAACTGACTGTAAACTTTTTTCTTTTTTTTTACTGATTGATTATGCACATAACGACAATATATGATGACAAGCATATAATGGGAATTCTATTCGGTGGCCGGAGCGAAGCGCGAATGCGGCAATGTAAACGAGAGACGATATAACAACAGGAGTGCATAATGTATTAGCAAGAGTAGATCATATAACTTATCTTCTGTTATTATCTACTCTTGGTATTAGACATAGAGACAGCATTATATTAGCATTCCTGCGCCGCGGGAGAGAGAGAGGATCTCGAGCTGACATCACACAGCCGAACAGCCGAATATAGTGTCATATAACGGGGCAGAGATGCAGGTACGGGAAACAGGAGAGGTCCCGTGGCTCCGGTTCGGTCAGCGGCTCGAGGAAGGTCGCCGGACAGAGTCCGACGCGCCCTGCCTCGTCGCTCGCCTCCACCCAGCCGCAGTCCATCTCCCAGCACAGCCGCACGGTGGCGCCCTCGCTCACCGACAGGTCACCGTCGAGCTCGCCGGCGAAGTCGTAGAGCACACGCGCGTACGTCGCACGAGGGAACTCCCGCACGCGACCCGGCGTCTGGTAGTCGCTCCCCGGGGTCACGACCTCAGCAGTGGGGGTCGTCTGCTCGCCGTGAAAGGTCACGGGGGTCCTCGCCTCATCGCGAAACGTTGCGGGGGTCGTATCTTTATCGAGAAAGGTTGCAGGGGTCGTCTCCCCACCGTGGACGTTTGCGGGTGTCGCGTCCTCGCCGCGGAAGTTCGCGGGGGTCGTCTCCTCGTCGTCGTCGTGCGGACAGTCGACGACGACCTCAACGAACTCGGCCGGGAAGATGCCGACGCATCCGTCGACCTCACCGCGCATCCAGGTGGCGCTCACGTAGCCACGCAGCATCACGATCTCGCCGGCCTCCAGCGCCAGCTCGTCGCTCTGCGCCGGCGTGAACGCAAACAGCGCGCGCGCGTACGGCGTCAGCCCAGCGTAGCCGCCGCCGCCGTGCGCTGGCTGCGCGACTGCATCCTCTGTGTCGCGACCGGGGAAGTATCCGTGAGGCGTCGCGTCATCGCCGTAGCGACCGGACGAGGCGGGAGTAACGTCTGCGTATCCGTATGACGCGTCGTCGCCGTAGCGACCGGAAGAGGCAGGGGCGACGTCCGCGTATCCGCGCGGCGCATCGACGCCACCCACGCGCTCCTGCGCCACGCTGAGGCACCGCTCCATACGCGAGCCACCCGTCGCCGCGGCGACCGCGGGGGCTCCTCCTCCTCCTCCTCCTCCTCCGTCGTTGTCGTCCATCATGCGCACGAACGCGGGCGGGAAGACGCCGGCGTGGCCGTTGACGCTGCCGCGCAGCCAGCCGTCCTCGTTCTCGCCGGTCACGTCGATGACGTCGCCCTTCAGGAACCCCAGCTCCTCTTCCAGCATCGGTACGAGGTCCATGATGGCGCGCGCTCGCTTCACCGGGGGCCCGCGCGCGACCTCCGACCCCGCCGGGGGCCCGCGCGCGACCTCCTTCACGTGGTTCGCTGGGAACACGCCCTCGCGGCCGCCGCATCGCCCGTGCTGCCAGCCGGCGTCGACGGCGCGGGTCGCCACGACGACGTCGCCGCGGTTAAAGTCGAGGTCGCCCAGTCGCTCGCCGCAGAACGACTCGGTGGCGGCGAGGAGGACCTCTCCGGGGGAGAGCGTCGGGATCGGCAGCGGGAGCACAAACGCGGCGGGGAAGGCTCCGTACGCGCCGTCCAGCTCGCCGAGGAGCCAGTTCTTGTCGCGGCGGCCCGCGAGTCGTACGACGTCGCCCGCAAACAGCTGTAGCTCGCCGATCTCGGCCGTGACGAAGTCATACACGGCTCGTACGAAGGTGCCTTCCTCCATCGCTGACTGAAAGTACAGAACGCCGTCTGTAACAACTCGTCTACACACGCGGCAGCAGTAGTAGTAGTAGCAGCAGCAGCAGCAGCAGCAGCAGCAGCAGCAGCAGCAGCAGCAGCAGTAGTAGCAGCAGCAGCAGCAGCAGCAGCAGCAGTAGCAGCGGTGGCTGCAGCAGCAGCAGAAGCAACAGCAGCAGCACATTAAATGCAAATAGTAAGGTATTGTTGAAAACATCAGTCAGACCAGCAGCATGTTGTAAAGGTACGAGTATGATTGCATCTTAGATCACTGGTTAGAAGAGTAGTTAGTCCTCACTCAAGAGATCGACATCAAGAGGGAAGAGGTTCAAATACCAAGGACCTAATACCATTTATCTTGCCACCAAACCCCCAAGCTAAGAACAGCTGCCCAGTGGCAGCACTGTATATGATATGCCTAACACAATAACACATTAGTACAGCATGAAATACTGACAGAACTGACAATAGCACAGCTACGCAACCAGCAATCAAAGTTCAGTCCAAGGAATGGTTACTAGAAGCTAGAGATATTTATCTATTTCCTAGCACATTGGTCCTAAAATATCCGTGCATACACTGTTGAAAAGAAGTCAATATAATAATAATATAAATAGCAAGGACTTGCAAATAATATAAATAGCAAGCCCTTATGACTTATGTGGGCGATTTCTACATGTAAGGTATAGCATGTTACCTCCATATGGAAATGTGATGAACTAGTTTTAACTGAGATGAAAGTGTGTCTTGTGTGTCTAGGGGTTAAGCCAACTCATTTTGCTTGTGGGCGGGGCGCAGCCACATGTGGTTTATGATTTTGCTGACAAGATTAGATTTATTTAGCAACATCATATACAACTAGTCTAGAGCCGCAGAGCGTCTGGGCTCATCTGAGGTCTGTTGCTAGAATGATAAACGCAACATTTAAGTCGTGCGTAGTGAGACCTTTGTTAGGCGCAGATATGCAGATACGCAGTTGCGTACACATCATTTCAGCAACCTTAGAACTGCATTCTGCATACCTCCCAAATCCCATTGGTTGATACAAATCGCGTGCCTCAATAACGTTCCTAAGTTCACACGCACGCACGCACGCACGCACGCAGCACGCACGTGTACGTGCACTACATAAACAGCGCTTTCTATCAGAACATGTGGTTATTCATCTGTAAATGTCAAGCAGCACGCTTCGCTTCTGCCAACAAATACACGTGACCTGATCTATGACGTCACGTGAAACACTCCTATATAGAGGTACGGCATATTAGATAGTGACCAGGGTACGTTCCGGTAATCCGGACTGTACCCAGGGTACGTTCCGGTAATCCGGACTGTACCCAGGGTACGTTCCGGCAGTAATCCAGGCAGGCTTAGCCTAATCACTATTGAGTATTGTCAGTATCGACTGTGTAATCAGTAATGTGATTGTGAACTCAGAACTGTGTCACCACTGTAGGCCTACCTACTCTATTCTATTTCCACCGTATTGGCTGTAATAATTTGCATACATTTCATTGCACAAATGGGGATACGAAATAAAGTGTTAACACAAACATTTACACGCGAAATATTATATATATAGTAAGTGATTAACACGTAACGTCGTGACGTAAGACTTGTTGCTTACTTCATTACTTTGCTGATTCCAGCCCATGTATACTTTCACCTTTTGATGTTCATTGAGTCATCGTATAGTAGACTGGTACCCGGTCGACAGTTCCACTAATGTGGGTTAGGGTTAGGGTTAGGGTTTCGCAGCTCTAAGTGTAGCGAAGGATATATGTCGGAGTGAAGGTGGCGAACGAGTACCAGTCTAATCGTATAGTAGCGATAGTAGCGCTACCGTCGATAGTAGCGCCACCGCTACAATAGCAAGCTATTTTATAGTCATTACAAGCCATTATAAGTCTTATATATTATTGAATATGTGGCAGTTTAATCATTTGTATCCATATAACTCCGGTAAAAACATATATACATATGTGCTATACAATTTTCAAGAAAAAAGTCCCGGTAATGAAATTCCCTTGTCACACGCGCAGCTTACAAGATGGCTGCCTACTACAACTGATAGGAATAGATAAAAAAGATAACAAACTATTAAATATTTAGGTATTTATGATAGATATAAAGGTAGAAATATAATTGGATTTAAAATGCAGAAGTCTCTATGACGGCTATTATCGTTTATTTATATACAGCGAGCTCCAAACCCGGTCAAACGACCGTTGTGTTGTTTTTTATCAGAGCGTTTGATCAATACTGTCACTGACAATGGGGAAACGAACAATGACCGGCTATGGTCTCGTCGATGACCGAAGTGGCTGTTTCAATAATAGAATGTTATTAAATAAACACACATTGGATTTACTACAAAAGTCTTAATGTTTATGTGTTCTTTATCACTTCATAATTGCACGTCTTGATATCTGATGTAAATGTGATTCAACGGCTCTTGTACAGATTACATTTGATTTACAACAAAATCTTACTCACTGTAGTCTGTAGGCCTGTACCGGCGTATTTGGACGCTCGCCCAAAACTGGACGCTCCTAAGTGCGCATGCGCCTCTTGTTTTGCAAGGGCGCACACAGTGCATGCGCAATATGCGCATTAGTCATCTGCGCATCTTGCCCTTCGACACGGTCGAAATAAACAAACATGGCGGACTTACCTGTCACTGATGGAAACATTTGATTGAAACAATTTGCAATATGTAATAATTAGTAAGACTGTGTTATGTGTGTCAGGTTACAAGGCGAAACAAAAGAAAACAAAAGAGCATGTCTACTATTTCCTACGGTCGTGCAAAACAAGATTTAAAAAAAAAAAAAGCAAAACAAAAGAGCATGCTTACGGAGCGTCCAAATACGCCGGTACAGGCCTACATACACTACATTTGACAAACTCATAAAAAATGAGAGTGGGTGGCTATCACAACACGTCTATGCAATCATTCGAGAGGGATTTTTCCTCAGGATTTTACAGTATTACAATTGATAAATTGCATTCTACCTGGGCGCAAAGGGAATAATTCGAACAAGGAAATTGAACACTTGGCTGTGCACAGATACGAATATGAAGGTGAATGGTTGTGGTGTATTTGTGCTGAGATAGTATAAAGTGAAGCGAGCATCTAAATTTGGCACTCACACTATCCACTGCAAATTTCTACCTGCTCTGTCTTTCAGTGAGTTTGTGCACAGTGGCGTGTGTGTTGTAGAGGAGCATTTGAATTACATTTAACTGGAATTATTAGGTGATAGGGAGTACACAAACATTAAGGCTTTGGTAGCAAAAAATTGTGTTTATCTAACATCATTTTATTATTGAAACAGCCAAAGTGCCTCTGGCCTCATCTGATACTAATTGTAAGAGTTAGCGTAGTTATGTTGTAAGGTTCATCAATCTGACTTGGTAAATAATAGGTTTATAAATACACCAGGGTTCGATGGAGATGCTTGATCTTTCGCTCCACTTTTGCAGTCGTGTGTGTGTGTGGCGCAGACTGATAGTCATACCATCGCTATCAGTAATAGATGTCTGCTAAGAAACGCTCGCTAGCAAGATGAAAGGGAAGGGTAAAGGAAAAGCAATGCAGGACCCGACCGACTGTTGTCCACTCCGTTTTCCGGATCTGACGCCGATTGAACACACCGCCACCTGCCCTCGCTACACAGCCAGTAAGTGCAAGCGGAATATTACCATCGTGGAAATATTACCATCATTTTGACAAGCCGGTGTTAGCAGCGTCAGGATGCGAACATGGCCCTCGCATCCTGTACCAGGTTCTCCATGGGGAATTTTTGGAAGTCATGTTATTTGTGGCTGAATTGGGGTGGGCCCAAGACAGGGTTTAACGAATTGGATTCGATTACAAATGTGAATAAAGGCCCTAATACCTAGGGTAAACTCAATCAGTTCAGAGACGTATACATCAGGCTGTGAAAAACACAGCGCAAACGGTGTCGGGATAGTCAAAAGTAAATGCCGCCCGGCCGGAAATTAAGGCACGTCGATCACGCAATTACGGCATGTCAGAGAATTCAGGGGACATCGCGAATTGGCTTCAACTTTGACGGCACGTCGGCGTGCTATCGATGCCACGCTGGCATGAATAAATACATGCAAGAATGCGTATCTACGTCGCCCCGCGTGCACACTGTGGGTGAAGTGTTTTGCCGACTCGCTGTCAATAACGTAAAAACTTTGAACGTCTGATTATAGAAAGGTTGATAGAGCGTTGAAAAACTTATCATCTCATCAAATTTTCCGTAGTGTAAACCCAGCTTAACGATCGCATTTCGTTCTCAGCCCTAGCGCGCACGGAGGGGGAGACGATCATCGAGGACGAGCTCGCGCTCCTGCAGGTGGAGCTGGAGACACTCCTCGTGTCCGTGACGAGACGGTCGCAGCTGCTGAACGCCGAGTCTCAGGCCCTCGCTGACTGGCTAGAGAGCCGCGGCGGGAAGGCCGGCGAGGCGAGGGTCCTCGCCAACAAACAATCCAAGGGCAAAGTGGTAAGAACACCGGGAGGTTGGTGGAAGGGGTGAGGGTGCACTCCAAGGGCAAAGTGGTAAGAACACCGGGAGGTTGGTGGAAGGGGTGAGGGTGCACTCCAAGGGCAAAGTGGTAAGAGGGAGGAAGAATACTGTGACTGGCCCTCTCCTACCAGCACAGTGAATATATCTCCTTGTTAAAATAACAGCATACATGACATTTTGCTTCCTACAGTGAACTGAATCCGACTCATATGTGATGGTATATGTTTTACATAAATATACATATAATCTCTTATGGAGGGCTTGTGAAATACAGAATTTTAGGGGTAAGCTTATAGAAAAAGCTTGCAGCCTTAATACTGATAATATACTTGGTAGTAAGGAGAGCTATTATCCAGACATACCTTGTTTTAGATTATTACCCTCTAAATTTCAGGTTCCGATCTAATGAACCCTATAAGCCATGAAATATGGCAACCACATAACCATATTAACCAATAGACGACATTCCCACCCATCATCATATATTCTGCTGTAGTCATCCCACGATGGATTGCGAACCTAGCGACTAGGCTGCGTGCTTTATCGATGTCTCGCTGCACGCAGATCCCGCCGGCATCGACACCCAAGCGTGGACGGCCACAGCAGGACGCCAGCAAGTCTGCGAGCAAGAAGCAGAAGACCCAGGTGCCGCCCGCCACGACAACCGCTGCCGCCGCCAAGGCCAGCGTCTCGCAGAGTCCGGCGCCAGTGAAGAAGACCGCCGTAACCGTGGTAACCATTTGATCTGCGTCACTGAAGTTCACTCGTGAAGTTGTGTTGTTTCCGGACGCTTGCGTCAATGAAGGAATGCAAACCTTGTAGGAGACCGCTAGGGGACCACGCTAGACTTGGCTTTTCAAACTAGCGAACAAATTAAGATGATGTGTAAGATACTTATAATATATAATACGCACGCACGCACGCACACGCGCACACACACCCGCAGAACAGGTTCGGACCCTCCAATTAACCCGTTAGTACTGTGTTCGCCGACATGTACGGAAATTCTTCTACAAAAATATATAATTACTAGCTAGATCGAAGCGCGCTGAGGATCTCACAACGGAAACAGAAAGTACATCCGTTGTTTTGACGTGTTCACTACGCTACACATAGTGTGCTGTGTCATGTTTGAGGAATTATCGGGAGGGACTCATACGAACATGCCCACATCATAATATTTTATATGAAATGCCGAGTCGGACTTGATTTCCTATCTAATACGCTGCTGCCATAGGCTTCATTTTTTCGTTTGACAGTGGCGCCACCTGGTTGTGGAAACAGCAAGGAAGTCAATAGATATACGTTTATGTGTTAGAGGCCCATCAAAATATCATCGTAATGTTCATCATAATATAATCAGGAGTATAATATATATTATAATAAATAAATAATATAGATTAATTTATATTATACACACCTGATATAATGCCACGGTTGATATAAGCCATATTTTGAATTGTTCTACAGTCCATACTGCACGCCTAAAACGGTGCTCGCGCATGCGCAATATCTCCAGAGAAGAATAATATTATGCAAAAATTATGCTTTTAGAATAACGAGGACGTATTCTAGCATAGATTTATATAATAATATTTTCTCAGTATGCCTCTCATGAGAAGTAGGAAGAAGACCTCGCATGTAAGGTGCCCGCTGCATATACCAGTCAGTACACAATTTGGCTACGTTAGTGTGTTAGCGCATGCGCAATATCTTACCAGAGGAGTTATATTTTGTGATGGATATGCATGTAAAATGGTTAGGGGATATCTCAGCATAGATTTCTGAAATAAATTGTTATCAGTAGTCCTGTGTTTACGATTAGGAGAGCGCCCTAGCCTGTGGGAAGCAAAACTACTAAGGCATCCCCTCCTGTCCTTCTTTTGCCTCCCCCTCTGTCCCTCGCTCAGCCTCATTCTTTTATACCGCTCTCAGTTTTCTTCCTTGCCGCCTTTCCTCAGTCTCCCAACCCTCTTTCTCTCATAGCAAGCTATATTATGCAGTGTTCTTCAGTCCATACTGCACGCCTGAAACGGTGCTCGCGCATGCGCAATATCTCCAGAAAAAAAAATATTTTGCAAAAATTATGCATTGAGAGTAGGGAGGAGGTATTCTAGGATAGATTTATATAATAATATTTCATCAGTATACCTCTTTTGAAAAGTAGGAAGAAGACCTCGCATGTAAGGTGCCCGCTGTATATACCAGTCAGTACACAATTTGGCTACGTTAGTGTGTTAGCGCATGCGCAATATCTCACCAGAGGAGTTATATTTTGTGATGGATATGCATTTAAAATGGTTAGGGGATATCGCAACATAGATTTATGAAATAAATTGTTATCAGTCGACCTGTGTTTACGATTGGGAGAGCGCCCTAGCCTGTTGGGAGCAAAACTACTAATTCATTACCTCCTGTCCTTCCCTTGCCTCCCCCTCTGTCTTTCGCTCAGCCTCGTTCTTTTATACCGCTCTCAGATTTCATCCCTGCCGCCTTTTCTCAGTCTCCCAATCCTCTTTCTCTCATAGCATAGTAAAATCTTATCTACATGCTTCACTTTGCTCGCAGCATCGCGCCACGATTCCCAGCTATGCTAATGTATGGCCAAATGGCGCTGCTTTCTGTGTCATTGCCAATGCCTCCCTGGCTACTGATAAAGGCGTGGGGTAGATTTATTCGTGGTTGAATTACGCCGTTAATTTTTACGATGAAAGATGCTATTCTTGGCAGCGAATTGACCAGTTTCCTGCTACATGGTCCTCAATCGATACAGAGCATATATTTGAGAACACGTAGGGAGGTGGAAGCGTGTTGAGGAATTCATGGTTAAATTGAAATTTTACGCTAGACGAATCTGCTATATGATATCGTCAATTTACAAATACTCAATTTCTTTTTTTGGGGATCTTAGGAATATCTTTTGGGGATCTTAGGAATATCTTTTGGGGATTCCTAACACTATCTTGTTAGGAAATTGAAGTACGTAGCAGCAAGTTGTGAGTGATTGCATTGTTTCCCTGCTTCTCCTTCCCTGCATTCCAAAAGCTTGCTTTATATGCTAGTGTTGCTATGGTCGGTTCAGAACTCACATTATATTATAAGCTATATTATATGTGATGGATTTTTTTTAAATAATTTTATTTTTGATTTGAATTTGATTTAATTTGCAATGTTGGTGCTTAGGTATGAGCCCTAACCCTAACCCAGTGACCCTAACCCTAAAGCTTAGCCCATGTGTAACCCGAAAGAGGTCTAATTGATGTGTTATCAATGTGCATGTGATCTCGTTTTATGCTTGCAGTTGCATTGCTTGTTCATGTTCAGTGTTTACATCATTTATGTGCTTTGCATGCATGCAACGACGGTTGCGCGCAAATTTGCATCGTTTGTGAGTGTCTCTCGTTTTAAATGTGTGCCGCATGCATCGTTGCAACTCACGAGTCACTGCCTACCCACAGTTCACCGCTTACAAAACACATGGTCATGTGTGTGACACGGCACGCGTGACACGATATATTGCGACCCTTGTTACGATCTCACGTGTGTGCATTTTGTTCACGTTTAATTTGTTCGCGTTAGTTTGAAGTTTGTTTCGCGTTCGTTCGCGTTTGTTTGCAGTTTGTTTCGCGTTTGCTTGCTCACGTGTGTGTGTGTGTTTGTGCATGCTTGCTTGCTTCACTAACGCTTGTGTTTTTTTTCTTTTTTACCCCCTCTCTCCGCTCCTCTCCTCTCCTCCTCGCCCCCCTCCTGCAGTAATACAGGATTTCTTTCCCACAGAGCCGGAGATGAACGGTTGCGTGACGCGCAGCGGACTCGTGCGATCGTTCGCGATCAGCAACTCAGCGTCCCTCGAGCGGCGAATCAAGCGCGAGCTGGAGGAACACGGTAAGCGATGATGTCATCACGCCGCGGCGCGGTAAGCGATGATGTCATCACGCCGCGGCGCGGTAAGTGATGATGTCACACGTCGCCGCAGCACGTGGCTGACTCGCTGCTGCGGTGTATAGTCTTCCATCGCACTGTTGTATCCATGCTGCAGCCCACCAGCCCCCCATGAAGCAGTCTTCCTTCTTACAAAGTACAATCTCCTCCACAATGCAGCATCCTACCCCCCAATGTGCCAATCCACCCTGCATCCCCTAAAGGGGGGCTTATGTCGGGCTTGCAAGCCGACTCGACTGGAAGCAACTGGCTGCAATTCACTGTGACTGCAGTGCTTAGGTCGGTCGACTGCGACGCGACTGCCAGAACAGTGGGCAACTGGACGCAACTAGTCACTGCCGATCGCTTTCAGTTGCTCGAAATCCAGTTGCTTCCTGTCTAGTCGGCTCGCAAGCCCAACATAAGCCCCCCTTTACATCCAACCACTAATCCACCGTACATTCCCTTCCATAGCAAAACATCTCCACCGTGATTAACCATTCATTTCCATACTCCCATCCAAGTTGGAAGGAAGGCAGAATTCTACTGCTATTTATAGGTTACTCGTAATCTCAATCGCTACGGCAACGATGCGCGTGATTTCGTGTTTTGCCGTCGCATCCAATTGGCGTTTTGCGGCGAATTTTTCCCGTTAAATTTTCCTACTCATTGGGGTCGCGTAGCTTCGTGCAGCGTTGCGTAGCTTCGTGCAGCGCGGAGGCGTGCAGGCAAGCTGTCGCAGGCAATCTGATTGCCTTGTCACTGCTGCGTGCAGCGCGGAGGCGTGCAGGCAAGCTGTCGCGCGCTGATTGCCTCGTCACTGCTGCGTGTTTCAGGTCTCTTCAACAGCGACGACGAGAAGTCGTCCGAAAACCCCGACGACGAGATTCTGCAGGTCAGTTACCACGGCAACGGCGCGCCTCGGTCAGTCAGACGCTCGATCTCGGCGGTTGTTTTAAAGTAGTAGTGTTTCAGCCGTCTCTCTTTTCGAAATCAGATAATATCAACTAACATAACAATTATAATAATCGACAAATAATTCGTAATGACAGTATATATTCGTTATTTATTTCTGGCAAGGGTTAATTTTTGGATTTCCCAAGCATAGTAAGCTTGGTTTCCCGGGATATAATAATCAAATCCGGGATATTCAAGACGAAAATCGCTACCGTGTCAATCGAGAATTCCCACCAGGTGGCGCTACGCAGCGGGGGCGTGCTGACATGGTCTGACGTTCGCTTGTTTTTCGGCGGGCAGGAGCTGCGTAAGCGGCAGTCGGAGCTGAAGGCGCTCACCGCTCACAACCTCACGCAGAAGAAGCGACTCTACAAGCTCGCCAAGGATGAGATGGGCAAGCAGGAGATGCGCAAGAAGATGCAGATAGCCGACATGGAGGTACGTACGCCCGTCTGTTGTCTCCCCGGCGCCCTCTGGCGTCGCTGCCCTCGCCGCGCGTCAGCAATATGATATATATAGACACACAAAGTGGCGCGATGCTGCGAGCGAAGTGAAAGGCATGTAGATAAGATTTACTATTGCACACGAGCATTAACATCTACGAGATATTAACTTTTTTTACGGAGGAAGCGAGCAACAGGCAGCGTTCGCTGTCTGCCATTTTTGACTGCGGAGATGTAGACAAAAGTGGCGCCAAGGTGGGCAGTGATCAGATCCGAAATACGGTGCGATAAGGACAGTTTCTGCTATTCGCCGCGTGCGAATAAGGACACATTGTGCTGCTATTCGCAGCCCCGGCGGGTGCGACAAGGACACGATTTGCTGCTATTCGACCGCGCACATTTGCTGCTATTCGCATGCTTAGAGTTATTGACGGCAATTATTGTAGTAGAACATAGAAGGCAAAGCCATGACACATGAGTTTTACTCATGTAGTACATAATACAATATATTAATATCAAGATGTAGTTAAGAATTCTTAATACGCTCTTGGTAATATATATTATCTAATATATATATATATATTATATTTTATATATAATATATATATATATAATATATAATATATATATATATATATATATTATACCCCAGTTTATTTCCAATTGTTCAGTTCAACAACATAACCAAAAAATTGATAGACCAAATAATTTTTGGTCTGAACTGAAGAGAAGGGAGAGGGCGTAACGTTGATCGAAATTGACAGGGGATTGAGTAGAGAAATGCTATAATTTACAATTATCTAGAGAGGAAGAAACAGAGCTCGCGGTCTGAAATCGTTAGAAACAAAACGAAAAACTGCATTTGGACGGAATCCTAGAAACGACTATAATGGCAATAACAGTTACGGGTCTGTGCACCTGTGTTAAAAGGATTTAGGGATTCGCGAGGTCAAGAGCAGCAGATTGTGAACTCTGTGAGCTTGCTGGCTAGAAGGCCAAACTCGAACGCGCAAGTGTTCTAATTAAATATTTTAGTAAAATATACGCTGAATAGAAAGCGCGCGCACATCATACGCGAAATCCAGCAATGAATTTTCGCATCATGTGAAATGTTATTATATATCCGGACCTGCGTAAAGATAATACTTTTAAAATGGAGAAAAAAATGTGACGCTACAGCTTGCAATGAAAGTTAATCTCGCATGCATTTCACAGATAATAAGAGATTACCCGAGCTGAGCGTAACATAATGAATAATTGAAATAGATCAATAGATGGAATGTCTGTCGCCTACATAAATAGTCGGACAACGGTCACCAGCAACAGCAACACACACACACACACACACAACACACACACACACACACCCACACACACACACACACACACACACACACAACGCACACACCACACATTACAAAAAAAACAGCAGCACACACACACAACACACACAACACACACACAACACACACCACACACACACACACACACACACACACACAGCACACACAAAACACACACAACACACACATCACACACACACCACACACAGAAAAGAAAAAAAAAAAAAAAAACACCACAAAGTGGCGCGATGCGCGAGCCGCAGTGAAAGCATTAGGATGGCAGAATTTTACCATGCACACTTGCTGTTCAGCCTGCCCGGCTCCACTTGAACGTATAAGAACGGCCGAAGAATATTATCCTTTGGCAGCAACGGCGACCGACGTTGCAGCGCCATTTTGCCCTACATTACATAGCTTGATCGTGGCGCGATGGCAAACGAGCGAAGTAAAGCGGTAGAGTCAATGTTTTTACCAATGCACACGCGCTGTCAGCCTGCCCGCTACAGTTGAACGTAATAGAGAAACGGCCGAAGAATATTAATCTTGGCAGTCAACGCGACCGAGTTGCAGCGTCATTGGTCATACATTAGCATAGCTGGGAATCGGCGCGATGCTGCGAGCAAAGTGAGCATGTAGATGAGATTTGACTATGCACACGAGCTATACTATCTAGCGAGGATATAAATTTTTTACGGAGGAACGAACAACGCGCCCTTGCGTCTGCCATTCTTTGACTCGGAATGTGACAAGAAGGTGCGCCAGGTGCAGTGATCAAGATCCGATAGGAATCACCGCGGTGCGAATAAGGACAGCATTTCTGCTATTCGCACCCGCGGGGTGCGAAAACAAGGACACGTGCTTGCTATTCGCACCGCGGCACATTTTGGCTTTGGCTATTCGCATGCTTAGA